ATGGATTTGTCTCCTAACACAATCAGCACATGACCCTGCAGGATTATAGGTGAGGAGAGCAGGCTGTGCCCTGCTCTGAGTTACTCCATAACATATAGAACAGCAGTAGTTGTCAGTCTGTGCCTAACCCTGAATTACTCCCCTTTGTAAAGCAGTGGTTTGCCATGAGTTACTCCATTTTGAGCACAAGGGCCAAGGTAGAATGACTCTATATCTTGTTCATACAAGTAAGCAACCACCATCTGCCCACACAAATTGATAAATAACTTATTTGTGCCAACTTATCAAACAAAGGCACACCTAGACACAGGGGCATCTCAAATCATATCAGAAACACCAGACACAGGAGCTTATCAACCTCACCAGATGTAACCCCCTCACCTAAGACCTGTAGAAGGAGGAGTCCACCAAGATTGGACATGGTGTCCTCCTGACCCTGTCACCTGGACAGTTGTCATGAGCCTTGCCCAGGAAAATAGCCACAGTGGCAAACCTCTGGTTCTGTCCCCAGAACCTGTGTGGTTTCTCCTGCCCATAACAACTACACGAGGCCCCCTCTAAGGTATCCTCTGCCTTAACAACTATGAGGAACTGGTTCCTTAAAACCCTTATCTTATCACCTACAGTGATTCTTTGATTTGTATCTGCTCTCTGCCTGTGCACATTTTAATTAATTTATTTATTTAGTGGTGCTGAGGATTGAACTCAGGGCTTTGCATCTGCCTGTGCTCTTGGCACAGTACCCTGTAACCTTATGGTATGGCTGCCTTAACATCTTCTTAGTCTTTCTATGATGTGTGTGTGTATCTTCATGTGAAGGATGATGTGTGACTTGAGTGTTGTAGATGTTAAAAATTAAGATTGGAATGGAATAAAAGAGCTTGTGTTCACTGGGCTTCTGACTATCAGATGACCCATAAGTATTTGGTGAATTACAACCACTGAAAGGGGTGTAGCTTGTGAATCTGTTGTTATTCAATAAATTCCGACATTGTGGAAATACACAATGTGTTTGGTCTGTGTTGATGGCATAGCTTGCTCATGATAGGAGGTGAAAGGAGAGGAATGAAGGGCCGTGGCTCAGGTTGGATAGAGCTGGGTGCGAGGCTGGCATCTCACTGTACTGGACACACTGGACTTTGGATTTACACTTGAAGACCTGGGAACGCTGTGGGCTGAGTCAAGGGGAGAGGACAGAAGAGTCAGATGGCAGTTGGAGGATAGGCAGTAGGACCATGAAGATTTGACAGCCTGTACACTGAGTGCTGTTGCTTCTACTCATGAGAGTCAGAATGAGAAAGAAATGGCAAAGGCTGAAAGAGACATCCGATAGCTGGGACTCCTGGTAGGAAGAGATGGGGTCCAAAGTACCATTGGGGATCTGGTGTGTGCTGTGTGAGTGAGTATGTGTGTGTGTGTGTGTGTGTGTGTGTGTGTGTGTGTAGGGTGTGTAGGTGGTAGGCAGAGGGCATCAGGATTGTCCAGCCCCCAATTTTGAGGAAAAGGTTTTGCTGCAAAAAAGCCAGACAAACCAAAATCCAAATTCTTTTTTTTTTTTTTTTGCTTTTTTGTACTAGGGATTGAACCCAGGGGCACTTATCCACTGAGCCACATCCATAGCCCTATTTTGTATTTTATTTAAGAGACAAGGTCTTTGCTATGTTGCTTAGAGCCTCATTAAGTTGCTGAGGCTGGCTCCGAACTCACGATCCTCCTTCCTCAGCCTTCCAGGTCACTGGGATTACAGGCATGTGCCAACATGCCTGGCTGCATTCTCCAAATTCTTTACCTTACTTCTTGTGGCAGATGAGTTTGGGGGCCCTGAGTGTGCCCCTGCCCATGTCTGATGGCTGTGGCAGCTACCTGCTGGAGCAGTCAGATCAGAAGGCTCTCCCAGGCCTCTGTGTCCCCATGTGAGCCTGAAGCGAGAAGTTTCCACCTTCTCCAAGAAAAGGACAGAAAGTGGGTAGAGTGTCAGGGAGTTGGCCTGGGGGCTGTCCCCATTAGGGCAGAAGGGCCCACTGCTGAGTCACAGCTTGACTCACTCCCAACAGGAGTGCTGGGGTAGGGAATGGAGGCTGGGGACCAGCTGACTGGGCTCAGATGGTGGTGCCAACCAGGAGGCAATGGTCATGGCTGAAGACCCCTTTTTTGAGGAGGCCTTCAAGGAGTGGGGCCCCACTTAAGGGTGCCCCCTGTGCCTGCCGGTGTGAACACGCAGGAGCAGCAGCACTTCCAGGAGGTGGAGCAGCAATGAACCAGAAACCTCCAGGCAGCTCACAGCAGAACCCGAGAAAATTGCGTTGGCTCAGTCCAACCATGGCATGGGCTCTCAGGAGAAGGGTCAGCTGGTATGTGTGTGAGTATGAAGGACACAGGCTGTGACTCACATGTACACCTAGGTAAGCCCCTCAAGCACCCCCCAAATGACACACTCCTGGACATCCATGTGGCTGTGTTGCCTGATGGCTGTGAATGCAGGGTCCCAGCATCGTCTAAAGGTTACTTAAGGGCTTTATTACATTTTCCCTTCTTATTCATGAAAGTAAGTGGAAAATTTGAAAGAACAAATTCTTACTTGAGCCATAAGATGTATAAGTCTTTTAACCCTAGTGCAGGCAAACAAAGTGGGAGTTGTTAGGTATGCAAATCCCAGCAAATCCTTTAGTCTCTGTGGATTTAACTAGTTTATTACAAGTTTGGTTTTGAAGAGAATGAGCAAATCAAACAACGCTGTGAGATGCTTAAAATTGTGTTGAAAAGGTCCCTTGGGGGTATAGGTCAGTCAGCTTTTTATCACTATGATCAAAACACCTGACAAGAACAACTTAGAGGAATAAAAGTTCATTATGGGCTCACAGTTTCAGAGGTTCAGTCCACAACTGGCCCATTGCTCCAGACCTGAGGTGAGGCAGACTATCATGGTAGAAGGGGTGTGTGGCAGAGGAAGGCTGCCCAGTTCATGGCAGCCAGAAAAAAGAGAAAAAGAGAGAGTGAGGATCCAAGGACAAAATATAACTCCCAAGGGCATGCCCCCAGTGACCTTCTTCCTTCAGCCATGCCTGACCTGCCTACAGTTCCCTCCCAGTAGTCCATTAAAATCACACACACCATCATCTTATTCAGCCATAAAGAAGAATAAAATCATGTCATCTGAAGGAAAATGGATAGAACTGGAGAACATTATCTTTGATTATAATTGAATATAATTAATATAATTACGATGAATTTTCAGCTCTCAAAATCTAATCATTTCACCTCTGACCAATCCTGCATTATCTAACACATGGGATATTTTGGGGGATACTTCATATCCAAACCATACAAGGGTGTAATAATATTTTTTTTTTTTTTTAGCTTTCAGAGAGCAGCTCTCTTGCCACCTGTTCACCTGATGCTTGGTTTAGCGCAGGAATGAAATAGGCAAAGGTAATAGCCTGTGGTGTCCCCTTTGTTCTGGGACTCACAGGAAACCCAGAGTTGATTCCTTGGATCAGTTATGTTATTAACAGTTTAATGAACATATGGATTAGTAAGTGTTATCTTAATGCTGTTAAATCTTTGTGAAACAAGGCAGGATACAGATTTGTAAGAAGCAGGAAGGGAGGATGTATTAGTTATCCATTGCTATGTAGCAAATTACTCCAAAATTTACCAGTGGAAAACAATATATGTGCATTTTCTTGCAGTTTTGTGGGTCAGGAGTCTGGGCATGGTTTAGCTGGGTCCTTTGCTCAGGGTCTTACCAATTGTGAACAAGTTGTCAGTTAGGGACACAGCATCTCAAGTTTCAAATAGGGCAGAATCTGCTTCCATACTCATTTGGTTGATGGCCAGATTCAGCACCTCTTGGGCTAGTGGGCTGACAGCTTCTGTTCCTTGCTTACTCTCAGCTTAAGGCTGCCATTTCAGCAGGGGAGGTATGAGAAACAGTCTCATATAACTGAATCACAGATGTGATACCCATAACTTTAAAAAATATATATATATTTAATTGTAGATGGACAAAATACTTTTTTATTTTTATTTTTTAATTTTTATGTGGTTCCCAGGAACAAACCCAGGGCCTCACACATATGAGACGAGCACTCTACCACTGAGCCACAACCCAGCCCCGACACCCATCACTTTTGCTGCGCTGTAGACTTCCCATCTCCTGTTATTTTTGGTTTCACTGAAAAAAATTAAATGGAAAATTTCAGGAATCAACAGCTCATAAGTTTCAAGTTTCATGCTGTTCTGAGTAGTGTGATCAAATCTCACTGTGTCTCCCCCGAAGGATGTCAGTCACATATCCACACTGTACGATGCCTGCCCATTAGTCACTTGAGAGTCGTCTCAGTTATCAGGTCCATTGCCACTGAATTGCAATGCTTGAATTAATTAAATCACATGTGGTAGCCTGACACTGTCACAATGCCTCCGTCATTCACCCAACTTCATCTTATCACACAGACATTGTATTATCTCACATCATCAAAGAAAAAGGGTGAGTAAAGTACAGTGAGATACGTTGAAGGAAAGACCATTTTCACATAACTTACAGTTTATTGTTATAATTGTTCTACTTTGTTATTATTACCATTGTTAATCTCTTATTGTGTCTAATTTGCAAATTAATCTTTATCATAGACATGTATGTATCAGTAGTATATACAGGGTTTGGTACTCTCTGTGGTTTTAGGCATCCACTAAGGGTCTTGGGATGTATTTCTTGTGGACTAGGCATGAATACTTTATTGTGTCTGATAGAAATGTGTCACTAGGTTCAGCTAACATCCAAGAGGATGAGATTAAACAAGAGTGTGAACACCAGGAAGCAGTTTATTGGGAGCCACATCAGATGCTCCCTACCTCAAAGATGAAGGGTAATGGGGGAAAAGTTGTGAAAAATTTTGCAATACTATAAAGATTACTGTTGTCTTCTATGGGAAGCCAAGGGATGTCTGGGACCTTTCCAGGTTATCTACATCTTTTTATTGTTTGCAACTGATTATAAAACTGATAATAAAGCAAATTATTCTCATCTCTTGAAATAAAATTGCACTGTGACTGTGGGATGTATTGTCCAGTTATGCACCAATTTGTAAATTCAGTGCAGGATTCTTAATTGTCCATATATGTGTGGTTCTTTGCATCTTATTGGTTTCTTGTAATTAATAATGTATTTAATGGCAAGTTAAAGAAAATACTTGACATTCAATCATCAGTGTGATTAGTCATGATTTTTATCTGATTTTGACAAAGGTCTTCGACTACAGGGAATCAACAACAAGAAGAGAAAACAGACTTCCCTCTAGTGGTAGCCTGACCCTTGGCTTTGAGACCTTGGGCTCCTCTGTATCTCCAGTCCCAGAAATCTGATGGATACTTCTCAGGGCTGCCCTCTGTCTGACCTGGCTGGGGACTTTGATCCCTTTACTGCCTGAGTACACCTAATCTAAAGAAATAATTCTATCCATAATTGTAATGACGTAAAACAAAATTTCTAAGTTCAAGATGAACCCTTTTTTGATCAATATGTAAATTTTCTTCATAAACAAAGTAAACACGATATTTTACATGCCCCCCCTTTGGCATTCTCTTTGCTGAATTAATATAGCAATTTTGAATCTCAAATCTCAGATAAGTTTTTATTGATGTTCCCTTTTATCTTAAAACAGCATGCAGGAAATAATAGATAAATACAATTGGCTGTCAGACTGAAAAACTTAAATTATATACTTTTGGTCCATGTTGTATAGAAAGATTTATTTCTGATTAATGGAAATGCATTTTTTTTTCTGCTAATTGTTTCAAGTCAAGGAAAATAATTTATCTTAAAAATTTCCATTTCAAATTAATTGATTACCTTTCAGTTTTCCACTTAGCAATAATGTATTTAATGGCAAGTTAGATAGGGAAGAAAATTTGAGAGAATTCTTTAAAGTAAGATAGGGGCTGGGGTGCTCGCTTCGGCAGCACATATACTAAAATTGGAACGATACAGAGAAGATTAGTATGGACCCTGAGAAAGGATGACACGAAAATTCATGAAGATAGGGGCTGGGGTTGTGGCTCAGCAGTAGAACACTCCCCTAGCACCTGTGAAGCCCTGGGTTTGATCCTCAACACCATTTAATTATAAGTAAATAAAATAAAGGTATTGGGTCCAACTGTAACTAAAAAATAAAATATAAAAAAAATAAGATTAAGTAAGATAAATTATTGTAAGACAGCATTTACATCTGTTATGAATTGGTGACTATATTTTATTATTGCAAAGCAAAAATGTATTGCTTAAATTTGGAAATTGATTGAAAAAAATGACCATAACACAATAATTGCTATCCATTTGCATTTAACTGTATTTACTTCTAGTTTTTTTTAATGTCTTTTTACATAGTTGTGCCCACAGTATAAATCTTATTTTGTCATTCTTTTATGTCACAATGCATTGTAAACAGTGTTGTTTGCATAATACTCAACACTATTATCTTATGTATTTTAATTATATATTTTAATAATTTTTTACAAAAATAGCATGTAGATCTATTAGTCATGTCAAATAAATTAAATTATGCACCACTAGCACAATCAAGATATGGAGCATTTCTATTATTTCACTTCTATCCCCTCCATGTCTCCACCAGCAACTTGTAATCACTGATTGGTTTTCTGTCACTATACTTTTACCTTTCCAAGCATATCACATCAGTGGACCCATTCTATTACTTAGCATAATGTTAAATTCACTTATTAGTTCAGGTATTTTACTGGGATTTTAATTTTTTTCCAAGTAGACAGTCATATCTGTGAATAAAGAGTATTACAAATCAACACCCAAAATCAATTGTCTTTATGTATTCTAGTAATGAGTCATCTGAAAATAAAATTAAAAAAAATTCCATTCACAAAAGCATCAATAATCAAATTTATAGGATTAAACTTAATAGAAGATATAAGTGAGAAGATATAAGTGTGAGATATAACTAAACAATAAAAAATATTACTGAAGGAAATTAAAGAAGATTTAGATTCATTGAGAGACAGTCAATGTTTATGGATTAGAAAACAACAATATTAAGATGACCCCTACCCCTGCCATTGATCTATGAATTCAATAAAATCCCTAAAATAGTAACTTACTACACAGGAACAATTTCATCAAAATGGCAAAATAGAAAGTTCCATGTTCTTGTTCTCCTACAGAAATGTTGGAAAACAAGCAGAATCTCTCAGAAAAAAAAATTGCCAGAACTCAGAAAACCAGTTAAAGACTTTAGCAACCAAGCAAATGCTGAATCAAGTACAAGATAACTGGGAAATGATAGGAAAGTTTGTGGCATTTTTACTTGTACTTTTCTCACTCCTTACTCAGCATGATGGCAATCAGAAGATGGCAGACTAATCTTAGAATTAGTCCCTAGTTTGAGAGGGAGAAGATTAGATCTTACTTGTAAATTATTGTGTGTTTCTGTTAAACTTATATGGGGGATAACTGAAGGACTGACACAAGATCCTTTTTTCTGTTTTGGCTATCTCAGAACACAGGCTGAAAAAGTGGTGGTTATTGCTTGAAAACTCTGAGGGAATCTGACAAATTACAGATGCCTGGGCAGAAGCTTACAAATTGAGAAATACAGTAGATTACTTAGCTCTGGAAGCAAAATCTGGGGCAGTTTCCTTTGGAAATGGATATATCTAAAAGTATTCATGTGAGTGATGGAATTTAGAAAGCCACATATGTGATCAAGGCAAGATGCATGCTCAAAAAAAAAAAAACCATAAAAGACCCTACTTTCCCCTAGTTTCAGCCTTATTTCCACAAATACAATATATGGAAAAATTCTTTGGTGGAGTCCCAGCTAAGTTTCAATGGAGTATCCTAGTGAAGAGCCAATCTGAAAAGACTGGAAGAAATTTTTAATTCTGTCTTCTGTGGATTTTTCTTGTTTTTCTGTTTTTTTTTTTCTTTCCAAAGCTGTTGGCATCAGGGAAATATCTGTCAAAAGATGAGTTGAACATGAATGAAGGAACAGAGACCATACATGAAAAGGAATACTGCTCTCAGAAAAAAAATGTTTGAAAATGTATCTAAACATTTTCAATGTACTGCTGAAGCTATCAGTAATATAATAATAATAAGTATAATTTCAATAACAAAAGAAACTACAAAGCATACAAAGAAACAGGGAAGTATAGCCCACTCAAAGGAACAAGGTAAATTGATAGACATTATCCCAGAGGCTGTTTAGATATCAGATTATCAAAGTCTTTAAAACAACTATCTTAAAAATGCTCAACTAGCCACAGGGAAAAAATAGCAAATAGGAAAAGGAAATAAGGAACATACTCTATCAACATAAATAATGATATCAGCAAAGGTGTAGAAAGTATAAAAAAGGAATTGAGAAGAAATTCAGAGCTGAAAAGTACAATAATTGAAATGAAAAACTAAGTAGAAGGGTTCATAGTGGACTGGAAGAGGAAGAAGAAAGGATCAACAAACATAAAGATAGAACCATTGAAATTATCTAGTCTGGGGAGTAGAAAGAGAAGAGACCGAAAAAAATGTGTATAGAGCCTAAGGGATCTGAGGGGAACCATTAATTAGAACAATTTAAATATTATAGGAGTTCTAAAAAGGAGAGGGAGGGAGATGGAGAGGGAGCCAGAACAAATATTTAAAGAAATAATGGCAGAAAATCCCCCAAATCTGATGAAAAAACATGAATCTACATATCCAAGGGTCCTCACAAATGCCAAATAAGGTCAACTCAAAGAGATTCATAGTAAGACACATTGGAATCAAATTTTTGAAAGCCACAGGCCAAGAGAATCTTGAAAGCAGCAAGGAAGAAGTAAATTGTTAACATACAGGGATCTTCAATTAGATATGCAGCTAATTTCTCACCAGAAACTGTGAAGGTCAGAATGCAATGGGATGACATATATAAGGTGTTGAAAGAAAAATTCTATATGTGGAAAATTCCTTAAAAATTAGGAATAAATTAAGACATTACTAAGTAAACAAAAGCTGAAGGAGTTCATTACCATTAAGCAGTCCCTACAAATATTACTTAAATTTTTATTTTTTTGAAGGGCTGGGGATTAAACACAAGGCCTTGCCTATGATAGGCAGGAGCTCTATCATTGAGCTACATCCTCAGTCCTAAAAAAATTACTAGAAGAAGTCCCTGAAGAAGAAATGAAAGTATACTGGACAACATCTTGAATTCTAAAGAAGAAGGAGAAAAGAAGAGGAGGAGGAGGAGGAGAGCATTGGTAAAGGAATCCACATAGGAAAATGTAAAACACAATATAAAGTATGTTTTGTACATAATTTATCCTTCCATCTGTTTTAAATGACAACTGCATGAAGCAGTAATTATAACTATATTCTAAAGGAATACAATGTATAAAATATAATTTATAGCCTATAATAATATAAAATAGGTGAAAACGAACATAATTATTTAGGAGAAACTGCAACAATTAGTTGGCATTAATTCTAACTAGATCATTTTAAGTTAATATGATAATTGTAATCCCATCATCATCATCAGCAGCAGCAGCAGCATCATTATCAACAACAGCAAAAAAAAAGGTTTTTCATCTCTTTTTTTGATACCCAAATATTTTATTTTCTTTGATGTTATTGTGAATGGGATAGTTTTTCTCATTCCTCTTTCAGTGGATTCATCATTGATGTATAGAAACACAATTGATTTGTGGGTGTTAATTTTATATCCTGATACTTTGCTGAATTTGTTTATGAGTTCAAGAAGTTTTCTGATGGAGTTTTTTGGGTCATCTAAATATAGGATCATGTCATGAGGAAGTAGGTACATTTTGAGTTCTTCTTTTCCCATTCACATCCTTTTAATTTCTTTCTTCTGTCTAAATGCTCTGGCTAGAGTTTCCAGGATATGCTGAATAGAAGTGGTAAAAGAGGGTATCCCTGTCTTGTTCCAGTTTTTAGAAGGAATGCTTTAATTTTTCTCCATTTAGAATGATGCCTTGGGTTTTGCTTGAATAGCTTTTACAATGTTGAGATATGTTACTACTATCCCTAGTTTTTCTAATGCTTTGAACATGAAGGGGTGCTGTGTTTTGTCAAATGCTTTTTCTATATCTATTGAGATAATCATGTGATTCTTTTCTTTAGGTTGATGTGATGAATTACATTTATTGATTTCAATATATTGAAACAAGCTTGCATCCTTGGGATAAACACCACTTGATCATGGTGCACTATCTTTTCAATATATACAATTTGCCAGTATTTTATTAAGAAATTTGCTTCTATGTTCATCAGGAATATTGGTCTGAAATTTTCTTTTCTTGATTTGTCTTTCTCTGGTTTTGGTATCAGGTTGATACTAACTTCATAGAATGAGTTTGGAAGCTTTCCCTCCTTTTCTAATTCATGGAATAATTTGAGAAAGATTGGTATTAGTTCTTTTTTGAAGGTCTGGTAGAACTCAGCTGAGAATCCATCTGATCTTGGCTTTTCTTTCTTGGTAGGCTTTTGATGATATCTTCAAATTAATTGCTTGAAATTAATCTGTTTAAATTTTCTATGTCCTTATAATTCAATTTGGGCAGATTGTATGTCTCTAGAAGTTTGTCAATGTTTTCAAGATTTTCTATTTTATTGCAGTATAAATTTTCAAAATAGGTTCTGATTATCATATGTATTTTAGTAGTCTCAGTAGTGATATTTATTTTTTTAATTGTGAACTTTAGTAATTTGAGTTTTCTCTTTCTTTTTGTTAGGGTTTATCAATTTGTTATTTTCTTAAATAACCAACTTTTTGTTTTGTCAAATTTTTAGATTTTTTTCTTTTGTTTCAATTTCACTGATTTTAGCTCTGATTTTAATTATTTCCTATCACCTACTATGTTTGGTATTGATTTGTTCTTCTTTTTCTAGTGCTTTGAGATGTAATGTTATATCATTCATTTAGTGATTTTCTATTCTTTTAATTAACGAGTTCAATGTAATGAACTTTCCTCTTAGCACTGCCTTCATAGTGTCCCAGAGATTTTGATATGTTGTATCCTCATTTA